TTGAATACAAGTGACAATAAAATCTAATTCTAATTTGAGTAATTAGCTGTTCCATAACGTTGCCATCCTTCTGTAATTTCCCTGCAGATTTGTTCCTCTATATCCTTTCCTGTAGTTGGCAGCCTATAGACCACACTGAGCAGTGCAATTGCACCATTTTACTCCTTAACTCCAACCACATGAACTTTCCTTCAACCATCTAGAATGTCCTCTTTCACTAAAACTACAAGGTTCTTGTTAACCAATACTGTCAGCCCTCCTCCTTTGTACCCAGGAATATTAAACACTCAGTCCTGCCCTTCCTTGAGCCAGGTCTCTGTATTCACCACAACATCACATTTCCACATAGCAAGCTATGTCTGTAACTCTGCCAATCTAATTTACTATTTTCCATGCAATCAAAAATATACAATAACCCAGACTTCATTACGTTCTCCTTTACTCTGACACAGTGTATTCAGTTACTACCCTTTATGCCAGTGCTGTCTCTCCAGGTGTTTTATGAACCCTGATATTCGACTCTAATATTCTCTCCTGCGTCCCATATTTTTGCCAAGTTAGTTTAAAGTCCCTCCAACAGCACTAGCAACATGCTTCACAAGGAACTCAGTCCCTGCTCTATTCAGGTGTAACACATCTATGGATAATCCTTTTCTTTTGCAATCCAAAGTTTCATGTTTTCCAAGTTTCTGACTGGGCTGTATATTATCACATTTTGGCTAATTGTCAATTTTAACTTTCACAGAGAGGTTCTCTCTGAATGATACAGTGAACCTTCTCACCATATCATCCCAAACTTGCCTCATTAATTACCTATCTCTCCCCTATGGTGACACTTGCATCCAATAACCAGCCCTATTCTACCGTTCACGTGCTTGGAAGATCTCACCTGTACCAGGATGTCCCAGAACAGACCATATTTCCTGGCGCCGACACTATTTTTAAACAGCACCGTGCACCCAGATTAGCTTTAAGAGTCAGGAACTGCCCTGCACGGGTGACTGACATTTGCACTGGCTATGGAAGAGAAGGAGGAATTTGTCCGTTGCTTTGCAGACAGAGACCTGAAGATTCTGGTGGATGGGGTAATCCAGAGAAGGACCATCCTCTTCCCCCAGTACTAGCAGTGACGTCCACAACACCAGGCCCTGATAGCGTATGTTGAGATTGCTGCCCGGGTCAGTGTGGTCTTGGCTCTGTGGAGTAGTGTCCAGCAGTGCAGGAAGAAGGTCAATGATCTACTCCATTCTGCCAAGATAAGAGCCACCATCTTCTCTCTGCTACCTCATTCTCACGCTCTCTTTCTCTGTTATAGCACACACCACCCATTAATGCTGTACCCACTCCAACACCGAACAGCACTAATCCTGCACGCCCTCTCTGTTATCTACTCAGTAATTTGAGACAAATCACCATTTCCTCTCCATCTACATCAGCACTAACAGCTGTGCCACCCTCTTTCATCTCACTCATTCCCTGCCTTCCTCTCATTCCATGGGCAAAAAACAGCCCATAGTACAGTAAAAACAGATAATAGGCTACCAAAGCTTCGGCTCCTCACCCCTTTAGGAGGAGAGGGGCCTGACCCTGACTACCCCAAGTGGCTGACTGACCATGCCCAAGCAACTTGACTGGTATTGGATGCTGCCCTTAACTTGCTGTGCTGGGAGCCCCTGACTGAATGGTGTCTCTCTTTAAGTGACTAAGGACTGCTGACAACCATGAAAAGCTTCCTGGTTTTGTGTCTGCTGTAAACAGAAAGGCAAGACAGAAGTACTATCAGCTTGGAGGATCTGCCTGAGGAACCAAAACACAAAAATAGGCAATGCAAGACAGAGACACAGTGATCATTCAGGAAGCCTCAAAGTGCCGGTGTGCTAAGATAGTGAGGAAACAAACTTGAGAGGCAGCCAGTGTATAAACTGGGTGTTTGTCATTGCAGGCAAAGTGTTTTTGAAGCAGCATTGCCGTGCTAGCTGCCAGTGAACCCCAAAGTGCAGAAGTGTTCTGCAAGCAGATCTGAGAGCTGTTATGATGATTCTAATAGGCTGGCATGTGTCGGATGTCAGCATCTGTGAACAAGGGATGCATGTGGCTGATACCCTGGAGCATACTCTGAAACATTTTGCTGACTGTCCAAGATGGCAGCCTGGAAGAGTTAGCAATGAGCTGGCCTTGCCAGGTAGTCACTCAGGCTTTCATGTGGGAATTGTAATTGTCTATTTTCCTCATGACAAGTGGTAGGATAGGACACTGCATTCTAATAAGGTGAGATTCAGTGTTAAGGAGGTTGTTATCAAACAATAATCCCCACTAATAGGCAGCTCACCGCTGCATGATGAGAATTTCATCTCAGTGCCTGGAATTTATTTGGAAAATGCAGCTAATTGGTCCCGATGTCGAGGTCAGTCTCACTGGATTTCTCTTACAATTCTGTCAGCTTTCTTGCTATAGGCTATTTTACTTAGGTCCCTATAAAATTCTGCATGTTGTGTTTTATCCCCTATGCATTTGTCTTCAAAGTGTTCTTCAAGGTTTAAAATGATGGGAAAATCTTGTTTTAAAAAGTGCAGTTTATGGTATTTTCTTGATGTTATAACTCTTCATATCCAAGAAGACAAAGAGATCTTGATCAACTGAGTCAACGAGCTGAGGAGTGGCAGAAGGAGTTCAATTTGGATAAATGCAAGGTATTGCATTTTGGTAAAACAATCAAGGGCAGGACTTATAACATTAAAAGTAGGGCTTTGGGGCTAGTGTTGTAGAACCGAGAAACCTGTAGATTCAGGTACATAATTCTTTGAAATTTGCATCACATACAGTTAGGGTGGTTAAGAAGGCACTTAGCATGCTTACCTTCATTGTTCAGATCTTTGTGTATAGGAGTTGGGATGTTATGTCGAGATTGTACAGGACGTTGGTGAGGCCTCTTCTGGAGTACTGTCTCAAGTTCTGGTTGCCCTGTTATAGGAAGGATATTGTTAAGCTGTAAAAGGTTCAGAAGAGATCTACCAGAATGTTGCTGGGAATGGAAGGTTTGAGTTATGGGGAGAGGCTGGCAATTTTTTCACTGAAGCGTAGGATGTTGAGGGGTGACCTGAGAGATTTATAAAATCGTGAGGGATATAGATAAGATGAATGGCAGGTGTCTTTTCCATGGGGGAGTGGGGATTTCAAGACTAGGATTTCAAGGCTATTTTTAAGGTGAGAGGAGAAAGATTTAAAAAGACATGAGGGCCAATTTTTTTCATGCAGAGAGTGGTTTGTGTGTGGAATGAACATCCAGAGGAAGTAGTGGATGTGGGTACAGTTAAAATGTTTAAAAGACATTTAGATAAGTACATGAATAAGAAATGTTTGATGCGATATGGGCCAAGCCCAGGCAGATGGGATTAATTTAGTTTGGGGCTATCTTCAGCATGCACTGGTTGGTCTGAAGGGTCTGTTTCCATGCTGTATGACTCTATGACTCTTGACAGAAATGTTATTATATGACTATTCCTAACAGGCTTGTTTCCACTTTTCAGCAGGAAGAAAATTAATACTTTCATTGAAATATGTTGGTTGATGACTCCATTAAAGTAACAAGAATCAATAAAAGTAGAGAAATAACTTGTTTTATTTAATGGTCATTAAGCACTGAATGCCCCAAAGCAGTCATACATATCCAATGTGTAGTCAATATGTTATGTATACAAATGTTACAGCCAATTTATGCACAGGAATGTACTGTTCAGAGCAATGAAATAAATGATCAGTTACTCTGCTTTGCTAGTGTTGGTTGGGAGGTAAATATTGACCAGGACTCCAGGAGACTTTATCTGTTTCTTTTTGAATAATGCCATGACATACACTCAAACAGGTAGACATGTTCTTGGCTTAACATCTAAACCAAAACATGGCATCTCCAGCAAATGGAACAATGTCTCAAACTGTAGAGAAGTGTCTGTTTAGATTAAGAGGTCATGGCTTGTGCTGTAGCTTGAAACCATAGCCTGAAATAAAAGCAAGCAGGTTCCATTGGTACATGGTGGCATATAGTATTGTGGATTTGCACAAGTAATTTGATACAAGTGTAATAAACACTTAATTATATCCCCAACAGTGATTTCTACCCTATCTCTTTAAAATTCTGTGAAATAGCACCAAAATTGAAAAATTGGTCTCATTTCCTTTTATCAATCCAAAATATTCATAATGTTCAGGCTATCAAGAGAAGCAAAGAGTGATCTGAATCTCCAAGAACGTAGTGAAAAGTTGGCCCTGTTGGAAAGTGTGCCATTGTGTATGTAATCGTGTATGTGTGCATTCACAATGTGTGCTGCTGAATGTTTCCATTGCATGAAAGACTGGGGCTAATTTCAGGAGGATTTAAGCTATAGTACTGGTAATAAAACATAAATTTCGATTATATTGAGAACAGGGAAACTAGTTATGCCTGCTGCAAGTTCTTCAGAAAAATCATCAAGTGATGTTGAAGTTGTTGTAACGAAATGTTTTTTATAATAATTTGTAAAGAAATTATGGTTGATTGCATTGACATCATAGATTTGAAGAGATTATAGAAACAGGACAAGGTGTGGCCTTGGAGGAATTTGAAAATGAAGGTGAAAATTTTAAAGTCAAGATACTGCTTGACCTGGAGCCAGTGAAGCTCAACACATAAACATGCAGATAATTTTCCTACAGCTGTTCAATATAGATGAGCTTATGGTTGGCAAAGTTTCCCATCATTGTGACACAGTCAAAATGTTATTCCTCAAACCATTGTGTAAAGAGAAATGTTTATGGCTCAGTTTCTTGTTGTGATAAAGCACTGAATTATTAAATTTGTAAATGTCTTATTAATTTCTTTATTCCTCCAGACCTAAATGTAGCAGCCTCTGACAAGAAACAACAAGTTTCTAAAATTAAACTGTGCATCTCTCTCAAATGCTTTTTCACAATCACAGAAAAGAATTGTAATTACTAAACTGTTGACAATTCTTTTTCTTCAACAGGGAAGTGACAGCGAATGTGAAGTTGATCAAAACAGACCGAAGACGCATTCTTTTGTTAATCACTACATAAGTGATCCTACATATTACAACTCATGGCGAAGGCAGCAGAAAGGCATCTCAAGAATTCAGGCCTACAATTACACAGAAAGTAAATCAGGTGATCCAGTTCATAATCACCAACCTTCCACTAATTCAACCAGCAGCATCCATGTGCCTCAGGCCACACAGCAAGGCAGCCTCTACCGAGCTAAACGGAGTCTAACACCCACACCCCAACTTCCCTCCAATAACACCAGCCAGTCAAGCACCCTGTATCGGCCTGCTAGCAGCCTCGCTCCAGGATCCAGAACCCCACTAGCAGGATTTTCTTCTTTTGTTTAAACTATGCTGAAAGGTATTTTCTTCTTAGTTCTGAAGTATTATTGTGTGGAAGACAATCACAAATCTGCTATTTACAAACGTGCAGATTTTATTTACTGGAAAAACACAACTGAAAGGGGAAAAAACCATCAGACCATCCTGTACAACATCCTGTCATGGTCTGAAGAGAAAGAGGTCTCCAGCAACTATAAAAGAATGAAGGGGCAGACAGTTTGCCACAAAGAATTAGTTTTGCTATCCAATGGGCTTCATTCTGATCAGCTGAGCAGTGTATGAATCTCACGTATGTCTATAGACATTGGAGAAAAACATAACTTGATGCCATTGTAGCCAATTGGCCAAGTCAAAAAATCTGCGGGCTGTTGTTGTGCCCATTATATATAAAACAAACAGTTCTAATTTAGTTGCTATCCTTGCTATTTGCAACTATTTTTATTGACTAGTTTTCACTTTATTACTGCTGCATGACTGTTACAGTGTGACTCCTCAATAAGCTTGAATCATTTATCTGTTATCAAATGCTGTAATGCCGATAATTTTAACATTTTTAAAAAAACTTTTCATTGGACAAATCTTCAGATTCATATCTGATGTTTTAAAAAGTCTGCCTTTTCTTTGTCTGTTAACTTGTGAGTCGTCATTCACAAAATCAAAAACTGCATGAATCACAAGACATTATTGGCCATGTCTTTGTAAAGTCATAATCATTGTGCTATAAGACCTTTTCTTAATAGTTTCTTACAAAATGCAAGCTTTTTCTCAAATGTAAGGCAAGTGATTCAGTTTGTTTCTAGCAGGAGAAATGTCAATGAGATATCTCATCTGGAGAACTTAATGGGTCAGGTTTGTCAGTAGATTTTCTTTCACAGTGTAACTGTTTGCAATGCAAAGATTCCCCTTTTCTAATGGCTTAAATCTGGAACATTTGGCTTTAGCTAGTAAATTTCTTTTCCCACTTATTCTATCCCTAAATTTAGTTATACTGAGAACTGGTTACAAAAATAGTATCAAATACAAATTAGGTAATTCTGACAAATTTCTCTTACTGTGTTAAAAATTCAAAAATATTTTAGGCATACATTTGTCAAGTCCAGTTATCAGTCTCATGTCATTTTTGACTTTGTAAAAAGTTAAGTACAATGGTTTCTCCTTTCAATTTGATTTTTTTCTGCATGGAGATGTCACTGCAGTTACAAAGAATGACAGAGTAATACCATGTAGGGCCATATTATTAGATGTGCATAGCGGCAGAGTAGCATTACATGGGGAAATGATGATTGCTATGGTGAACAACATTTAATTACATTTAATGATGAACAATAAAATAGGAGTGGTACATATTCTTGTATCCGTAACATAAAACATCATAACTGAAAGAGTCACTAGCAGTCACCATTTCTGTTTCTCATAACAGTTCTTAGCAAATTTGGCAAGTTAATGCAACAAGGAAAACAACTGAACCCTTGCGGAAAAATAATTTAAATAAGTCACATTATGGACTTTCAAAAAGTAATGCATGTTTCCCCAAATCAGTTTTATGTTCCTTATTCTTTCTGCTCCACAGACAGTTGTAAAAATATGATTCACCACAGCAGTGATTTTAATCTGACTATAATGATTAGATACATTGTGATTCTTTTATCAGTTAAGAAAGTCGGATGCCATGTTATCTACAGTTCACCTCCAAATTTAGATTCAAGTTGATTTGCAATGTCAGAGGAGTATGTATCTTTGAATACCAATACAGTGTTCTTTAGCGTGGTATTTTCTGATGTGAGGGTGGATTCTGGCCTTCAGGTCAGTGTGTGTATAGTCATTTGTATCAAATATTGATGTTTATTATGAAAAGAAAACAGGAAAATTTAATGATGGTTCTAACATATCCATATAGAAAACATCATGATGTGATCCTGGCCCAATGGGATCATTTCTAAGTACTAGTATTTTGTTTCTGTAAAATAATAACAGAAATATAGCATATCCTATACAAGTTGGTGGCAGATCATATTAGTGCAACAATAGCGCATAATTAAATAAATAAATACACAAATTATGAAACTTACTTTGGGACCATATCTCTCACATCATTGGTCACCATCAGCCTCCAAATTAAATGTCTAATTAAGATGCCAATCTGTATTAGGAACACATAACTCTAATCAATATTTTAAATTGATACCAAAGCTGGGAATTTTGCAGAACTATATGGAATGTAATTATTGAATTAGTGGCAGTGGATATTCCATACTGAAGCAACAATTGTTATCTGATGAAAACAGAATTACATCTTTAAAATAATTGTGGTTTTAAAATTAATGAGTCAATGTAATAATATGTTTCTGATGAAATAGATTCTCCTGGTAGCAACCAAGAGTTTACAACATAGAGTTTAAAGGAAGCTATCTAGGTAAATATAATAGTAGCTTTTAAATTCAATGTCAATCTTTTGTGATGCTTGAGGTTTTGTTTCAGTCAGCTTTTTTTAAGTTATATCACAACTGGCATAACTTTGCAAGGAAGCAACAAAATATTTAGGTATAGAAATACATATTTATATTTACATATATAGAAACCCATTATGCATATATTTATCTTTCCTATTTCATAATTATCACAAAAATAATTTCCAATGACAATTGTCGTTTTCTAAGAAATACTTGGGTCACGGGCCACAATTCGCAATGCAAGAATACACAAAGATTAAAAAGAAAATGGGGAAAATCAAAGCAATAGATTGGCAGAATGAAGATAGGCTGACAGAGATACGTTTTCCATGGTCTTGAGATGCTGAGGAGACTGAGTTAGGTAAAGGAGGAGATCATGGGATTAGTCCTTAAATAACAAAGGACCAGCTTGCATTCATGATCATTACAACTGTCCACATAAAAATTGTGAGCCTTTGAATGTCAATTTAATTGCTCTAAGTCATGTTCAACACAGTGCTGTCTACAGGAAATATGTGGTAATGTTTCTTCAACTAATCAGATTGAAGAATCCTCATTGAGCCAAGCAAAATATAAACTTGTAAGTATATTATTAAAATATATAATTCAATCTAAAATAATGTCTAGAAAATAAAGTGAGGTAAAGAATTGCACTGAGGGAAATAAGAGACAAAGTGAACGTAAAAAGGTGATGTTTTTAAAATTTCTTTATGGAGTGTGGCGTTGCTGGCTTGGCCAGCGTTAATTGCCATCCCTAATTGTCCTGAGGACAATTAAGAATCAACCACATTGCGGTGGGTCTGGTGTTACATGTAGACCATACCAGATAAGGATGGCAAATTTCCTTCCCAAAGGAAAACAAATGTGTTTTATGACAATCAACAGTGGTTACATGGTCCCTATTAGACTTGCTTTTTATTCTAGATTTTCATTGAATTTTAACTTCACAGTCTGCAATGGTGAAGTTCAAAGCCATGTCCACAGAACATTAGCCTGTGCTTGTGAATTACTAGTCCAGTGGCATTATCAATAAGCCACCACCTCCTCCCTCATAATAATTAAAATCTGAGGGAATATGGCTGTACATTTATAAAAGTTCATTTCAGAGAGGTCATATTGCAAAATTAAGGTTTATCACATTATTAAAAATTTATTTCATTTCAACTGAATTCACAAGCCTTTTTTTTTCTGTTGTGCTTGGTGCTTAGCCAGTTGGATTAGCACATCAAATTCACACCTTCATTTTTGCTGAATCTCTCGGCAAAATACAAATATGGTGAGATTTGCATATGAGCAGGGCAACTCAGACAGCAGCTTTATTATTTCCACACTAATGCAGATGGCAAAAGTTTCTGTCCAATTTACTCATGATGATGCGAATTGTTACATTTATTACTATGCTTAATACAAAATACAAGCAATTCTATCTAAATTCTAATGTGTAATGCACAAGATTAACTTGGGCTGAATTCACTATGTTCTTGGGAGGTGTAAGTTTATTCAGATCAAGCTTTGAATATGGTACTAAAGTTTTAATCTGATAATAGTGCTTGTTACAGTACCCTTTTTGCAGTGAGTAAATTTCTTCAATGTGGTCACTCAACTCAGAATCTGTCATATTTGATAATGGCATAAATTCAGGATAGTTTTTAATACATATTGGTCAAATATACTGTGTGCACTGGAGTATGCTTACAGTTTAAACAAGAACTGACATTGGAGGATGTCTAGTTGTTTAAATTCATGATCACTGTAGTTTTGAGTGGGATCTGAATTATGCTAGTTGAGTTACCTCCCTGATCAATATCTTGATAACTTCAATACCAATGTACAGGAACCAGTTGAGCTTTTCAATATTGTTAACAATGCAGCAACTTCCTGCAGAAAAACAAGTCCCAATTAGAATGAAAATAAGACTGACGCATGGAATGTGAGGCTTGCAGTTTTGCTAACTGCAGAATATGGTGTGCTGATGATCTATATAGACAAAAAACTACTGTGTTTCTGCTGAGTTAGTTGGTTTCAAGTGGAACAACAGCAGGACACCATAACTGGTCTAAATGTTCCAGCACACAGAAAAATCAAGCACGGTTACAATTACTAATCCCTATTCTAACTTCCACTGGAAAATATGTGTATTTGGATGATTTTAATGGAAATATAGATGAATAATTGACGAAATACTCTCAATCACTATTTTACAATGTGAAAAAATACCTAGATCAATGAAAAAAAACTCTCTATATTTAGGATATTCTTCTTGTTCCTCCCCGTTAAAATGGAAATTTCAGTCATTAAAATTTGATACAATATATTATCACAGTGATCTGTTTTAGTGTGAATATTGTAATAAATTAAGCAGTTATGACACATTGACAATTGATAGTTACATTATTTAGTTCTCCTATTCTCCTGCCTCTTATAATGTATACACATACATTGTAAAGCAGTATTCACAGAAAAAGTTACAAACTACTTTGAGGAGACTTTAAAGAATTAATGTAATGTCAGAGTTCACTTGAAAGTTTTTAATGGGACAGATTTTGTTCTTGCAGGTTATGATGTCATTTGCTTCATCATTGTAAACTTACTTTACAAACACAAAATAAAAGCATATAGTTATGTTTATTGAAAACAAAGAATGGATGCAAGCTGGTGTCTTGCTTCAATCAGATCCAATGTAAATTTAATCAGTTGTTATCTTACAGAATGGAAGTTGTATCTTTGGAGGAATTTTCCCATTCTGTTAAAAATAAAAGGAGCAAGCATGTTAGGTGGCATTTAATACATCAGCCCCAGTGCTGAGGGAACTCATCCAATCACTCACCAATCAGCTCAATAAGCACTGACGGGTGAGCATGGATAAGTTTTTCAATGAATCACAAGCTTCGACACTGGTATCCCAGGTCACCAGAAGCTGCCAGCCAATCAAAGGCCGGTAGCTTCTGTGTCGTAAAGTCCGCAGGTCAAGGTCACTCCTCGTTGGATCCAGTGATGAGAAAGTAAACACTTTTTGTACTCCTCATGGGGTCAGAGGCAAAGACAGGTGGGTGGCTTTCAGACATCATTTCCTTGACCCCACCTTCCATGCCTTGGATTGCCCCCACGCCAGCAGACAAGTCACCTGATTTCCAAGTTAGGAAACTGGCTGCCTTTTTACCCACCAGTGAGACAGGTGGTTGGGGAATCAGCAAATTGAGGCACTTAAAATAGCCATTATTTGAGCACTTAAGGCCCTTAATTGGTGGCAAGTGGAGCTTCTTGCCCAAAACCTAATTAGTGAGATGGTGGTGAGTTTCTTTTTCAAAAAGATTATTATTTCCCCTTCTTGCCATTCTCACAGAATAGGGAAATTGAATTCCTGTCTTTTACTTTATATATTATTTAGCCATAAAGTAGATCTCAAATTAAATATTAAAAACTGCCTAAAGATATGCATGGGCCAACAAAACATAGTATATGGTGAATGTTGAGGCACCTCTAGTGTAGCATCCCTACCACTGAGCCAGCAGATCCAGGTTTAACTCCAGAGATGTCATAACACATCTGAACAAGTTGGTATATAAATATCTATTGTGAGTGTAAAATTGAACCACCAATCTGTTTACATTGTTACCATCTCAGTCAATTACTTTCTGGAGATGGTGGAAGACTGGAAGCGAGACACAATGTGCTCTTACGATCATCGCTGAACCTTGAAAAACTTTTTTATTTTGAATACCATATTACTTAATCAGCACACTGACAGAAATTATGCTTAAGAAATTGAAAACTACAATTTGTGTCTCAATTGTTTGCCAGTGGTGTTACACATAGAATGGTGAGTTTTTTTAAAATCAAAATTCTGTTTCACACAAGTGACTTCTAGTGAGTCAGAAAATCACCAAAGTGCTGTATTTTAGTAGGTTTTGTTTTAGAAGTAACAACTTGTATTTACATAGCACTTCTACGATAACAAAATACCTAGAGATGCATCACAAAAATATTATAAAACAAAATGTAACATTAAGCCACATTGGGAGAATCAGGGTAATTGATTAAATGCTTGATCAAGTAAGTGGATTTTGAATAGTGTCTTTAATTCAATTTTTCCTTTGAGAGCAGAAGCTTTTAGGCAAAAAAATCCTGAGCTTTGACAAATCAGGATTGACCCAGCAGACTGGGATCTGGCAATTTTTAAAAAATTTATTGTACAAACACGGTTTGGAAAAGAGCACTTTTCCTTTATCTCCAGGATCTGTATTTGATTTCACACCATGCCAATACAAGGAACTCCACCTTCTACAAAGTCTTTAATTAAACTATTACTGGTAAGATTTTAGTTGGTGAAAATTGACTCTTTATTAGAGAAAGCATAACAGTTAAAAAGTGGTATTATTCACATGATTGCAGCAGTGATGCACTTCTAAGATTCAGGTTACATAAGATGTGACAGCAGTCATCTTTATATCACATTTGGTGCAGACAATGGGCTGATCGAAGTGCTTGATTCAATAATCTTTTAAGCAATGTTACAAAATAGCCAGATGGTGGACAGAACACATGTATCTCTTGTCATAATTGCTGCTGTAAGACCTAAGCAATTTTGATGGTCAGGTCTTACAACTATAGGGTTGCTGTGTCAAACCAGCTGCCTCCTGACTCCATTAAAAGAAAGGACGTCAGTGCATTTAATAAGCAACTTCCAGCAATTAGTATGAGACCCAATGGTTGGGTTGATCAATACCTTATTTGATTCACTTCAACATTAAAATTACAGGATGTCCAATATATATTTTGAAACCTCTTCATTTATTTCATTCCGTCAATGTTGCCATCCTTTGGGGGTCCCAGTTGTGAAGCAAAATCCAGCGTCCTTACCCCGGACCAAGAGGCCCATCCTTTCCAAAGGTGTGTAATAACATTGCTGAACAGGTTGATTAGAAAGATTGGTTAATAAATTTGGCCTCCTATCTTAAATAGAGTGATACTCTAGCCACCTATCTCAAATCCCCTAATAAGATAATTGTGACCAGATTACTAACTGAATGGGGTGGCCCCCTGCAATATATCAGCAATTAGTGTTATATTACAGTAGGTGGTTACAGCTAAAAGGAACCCAAATATATGAATTTGGAAGTGTTTCTTTCCTTGCACTTCACAATCCTAAATTAATTGTATTGTCTACTCTTTCATCTTGGAGCCTGCATTTGTAGAAGGAAGAATAAAAATTATAAAGATTTAAAAATAGTGTTTTTTCACCTTTAGAATTTAGATTTTAGTCAAACCTAGAGGGTGTTATAAAAATGTATTTTTCTCTGGCTGCCCAAACTTCACCATAGAACCTAATGCTACCAACAAGAAATTTCAAGAAAAAAAATCCCTGGGTGTAAATAGTGGCCAAAAGGGGAATAGTAACTGCAAATGTTAACCAGTCATTTTTAATGATATTTGTGATCTTTATATAAAAAAGTGTTTCTATATATTTTCTTAAAATTTCTGAAATGGTACTATTGTTTTTAATCCTATGTAATTCAAAATCATGAAGAAAAATGCATTATTTTAGAAATCAATATTCTGAAGTAGCAGCTATTTCATTCTTCAGTTTTAAGTATGTACAATGAACGGCAGATATGTCAATATGATACGTCCAAACTGAGGGATGTTAATCTACATATTATTTCATCTTCATCTGGTAAATCTGACTTTTTATCAGTCTGTAAAATGTTAACAAAGAAAACTGCCCCCAGTTTTGCCTATGTTCACTTTATGTTTTAACGCTGAGTCCAAAGATCCAAACCGGTTTTATGAAAATTAACACCATTCACATGCTGTGACATTTTCTGCTATGTGGTGGAAATCCTGCTATGAAATGTAGACTTAAATATTGCTTTATTCTTTTTCATTATCAGTTAAAAGTGTGAACTTTCGCAATTATGTTTGTTTTTATAGGTCTGTGTATTTGCATCATTCTTTTAGTGGTTTAAGCTCTTTATAGATAATATTTTGCCAAAGTCATGCCAAATTGTGCTGTCTATAAAAATGTTATTGTTTCATTCGTGTTTCTCTGTACACAGTACTTTGCTGTTGTGATTTTTTTTTTCTGATATGCCTTGTTCATGATGTTTGAATACATTAGTTTTATCTTTGTTTCCCTGCTCCCTGATGTTTGGCTTTATTATAAATCTCAGGTTAATGCAGACATTTGTCAATACATTGAACATTTTTTACATCATATACGGTCATAGAAAATTGAGATATATTTTGAGGCTAATATTTCAAATATTGCTTCAAGGAAAGACATACATATGTTTATTTTTCTTGAATAATTATTCCTTTGAGGAAATATTAGGGCATGAAAAGAGTGTTTTCTGTATTAAAATATGTTGGTAAGAATCAACACAATGTCTACATCTGCAGCGAGGCCTGAAGAAATTCACCGTTGCTATGCTGACCTTCTTTTCCATATAATGTTGGTGATTCTGTAGAGTTGATGAACAGAGTAAGAGTTTTGATATATGTCATTACAAGGTTTGTGATCATTTTCAGTTTTATATGTGGCCGAGAAGAACACAATTTCTATTCTCATCAAGCATAAAGCTGAATAAGATGACATCTATGACACAAATACAAGGGACATTTAAGGACATAACAGCTAGGAGCAGGAGTAGATAATTCAGCTCCTTGATTCTGCTCTGCCATGTGATACAATGATGGCTGATCTCATCTCATCCTCAACTCCACTCTTCTGCCTGTTCGCCATAACACTTCAACTCATTGGTAATTAAGAATCTGTCCATCTCCTTCTGTCTATTATCCAGTTTCAAATGAATTGCCAAACCTCTGACAAGAACTATACTTAAATTAGCATTCACACCTTGCATGGAACACAAGATGGAAAACATTTGACAATTTTTTTTACGAGAAGAAGTGGGGAAATAACAAATATTTCATAAACTGAGTAACCTGCTTAAGTTTATTGTGTAGTTAGTTTGGTCCAATTTCATTGAAATTTACATTGAGATACAGGTGAGATTTCAGTTATATCTGAGCAGTCTATACATGCAGCGTTTACAGAATTTTATTTGCAACACCAAATAACATTTCCTATTTGCTGAAGTTAAATTTATGGAATTAAAAATGTCATGTATAAGCCATAAGCTTTCTAACATTCACAAGCTATTTCAGTCAAAAGGTTTGGAGGAATTTGTTCATTCTTGCACCATTATCTTACATTTACAAATGAAAAGATCAGAGTTGTGCCACATTAGTAGCATGCCATTAAAATCCTCCATCTTGGAGAAGATTTTCTCTTGCAGGTGGTAATGCATTAGGTTCAATTTTTGATAGGTCCCCACCTCTCTCATATATCATTGTAACTTGTGAATCTGAACTGAAGGCAATGAAATTCAACAGTGAGAAGTAAGTAGTAAACTGAACCCTAAATATTTAATTTCAAGGCTCGTTGTATTGCACAAAGAATTCAGTGTTTATAATTCAGGATAGTCATTTCCAATGCCAGATCTCTCATCAGCAACATCCAATCTGAAATTTGCCTGCTAAATCTTTTCAACAACATTTTTTTTGAAGTTTAAGCAATATAACCTATGTATAGAAGACCATGTATTAATACAGTATTATTTGAGTAGCATTCATTTTTATTCCATCATTGTTTTCCCCATCTACTGATTGCACTGACTTAAGGCAAAATAAAGTCTCATGGATATAAGCAGTTCTCCAGCAGCTTAATAATGAATTATTTTTGTCTGAATCCGGAAAACTAAGCTAATTCTGTTCTCCCAATCCTGGAATTCCCTTCCTAAGGACATTGTGGGCCAACCTACAGCACTTGGACTGCAGCAGTTCAAAAAGGAAGCTCTCCGTCACCTTATCAAGAGCTACTCGGGACAGGCATTAAATGCTGGACAGCCAGCAATACCCATGTCCCAAGAATGAATGAAAAAAACAATGTCCGCATATTCATACTTTCCCAGATAAATATCTAAAATAAAATCTGACCCAGTTTTTTTCAACTGTAATGGAATGCAAGGGTAATTTGATAATTATTTGTTTATTAAATACAGGAAAGTTTCAGCAACAAAAATACTTCCATGGTGATAAGTTTATTGATCTTTCCAACACAGTTTTGCTTCCCGTAACTAGTGTTTCATTGCATACAACAATGTTTTAGATTGCAGGAATTATGAACAGTTACATTTTCAAAGAATACTTACTTAAAAATTGACATGCAAATTTAGTTTCAAAGTTACTCAAGATACAGCAGGGAGCATTAGAATAGAAACTTGACCAGAATTTTCCCAATCATCTGAAAATCTGACCAGGAGCAAAATTTGAAAAGAGCACGTTGGGTCAGCTAACTGACACCTTCTTTCCTCTGGCAGCTTTTACAGGGATGGGGTTTGCATTCAAGAGAATATTATATGATTATTTAAATTGAAGCACAATGTACAGGAAAAGACAAAAGATTGGCATTAAGTCTAAAAGCTCAATGAGCCAGTACAGGTATGATGGGCCAAATGGCCTCTTTGGCATTGTAATAATTCTGTGATTGTGTTCAGTGCAATAGAGTCTAACTGTGGGAAGCAGAAGATTGAGACCATTATTGAGCCAATTGGCAAAAAGATGTTGTTACTACTATATTGCAGTCAGGCCCCCTCATGAGACCTGAGTTCTGAAATGAACTGAAGGCAGTCTTCCAGTGGTTAGCCTGTGTGGGGGCATTCATGGGTGCTTCCTTTCCATCAAAGACCAAGTGCAATGTGACAGCCACTGCAGCAGTTGCAGGCCATCCTGTTTGCTAAGATAGTATGACAGCTGTGGCCATGAGGAATTTGTTTTAACATTTTACAAAGGTGCAAAGATAAATTCCCCATTTTGAAATGTCCTCAAGATCTCCATTTGTCTCAAGAGCACCCATCTCTCCCAGTGGAGCTGCCGGGCAGCTTTCATTGTGGGACTTCTGGGCATCCTATTTCATTGATTTGCTCACTATCTGTAGCTGGATCAAGTCCCCAGAGGTAGCTTTTTGATTTGCCCCTCCTTGATAATCATGAACAATATCCTTGAACGGGCACTTTCCGGGAATCCAATCCTGAATTGAACTGAACATTAGGATTGGGACCCAATCTAGAAAATTCAGCCCGTTATGCTTTAGAATGACTTGTCATTTGGAATTAAACATCTGGTACTGTTCTAGAGGTATCAAAATTTGTATATAAAATTATTAATTTATCACAGCCAGTTCACAATGTAACCAGATTGCCACGATACTGAGGCTTTTACGACTCAAATTCAAGACTAGGTTTGTTAACGATAGCAAATAATGTAAATATTTATCACTACAATCATGTCAGAGTTATAATTCAAGACAGCTGGACACTGAGCCACAGTTCCATCATGCTGGCTTACATTTAACAAAACTTGCACAAAAAGCAATAACTAGATTTCTGGACTCTGGCGTGCAACTAAATCCAGCCATGTTAAGCCGAAGCTGCCCTTTTTAGCAGAAAATTGAAGGTGGCATGAAAATTGTAAAGGCAATGTTTGTCTAAGGGTTATACCGACATCAAAATCCATTGAACATCAAATATGGTGTTTAAACTGGCTCTGGCATGTTTACAATTTTTTTATTGGGTTTAAACTAATGAAGAGGGTGCACCATGGGTGATGAGAATTTATACGTGAGCTGTATTGTTACGCCCAGAACCTGGTAAGGTGTCTCAATTTGTTACAGTTCCAGACAGCGTACCCAACTGGTTAGCTCCTGAGTGAGCAGGGATATACTGGCTCCTTCCTTTATTCATCTGCCCCTTGATTGATTGTAACAAGATTAATTTAGAAACAAGTCTTTTCCCTCATATAACAAGGTGTAGAGCTGGATGAACACAGCAGGCCAAGCAGCATCAG